AGAAAGGGAGAACATTGAACTTGAAAGTTTTGAGTTAGGGTAATTCAAGTCTTATACTATTTAGTTGACAAGAGACCAACACGAAGGTGTTGGAATAGGAAAAATTTTAGCATATTCAAATAAGCTGTTTTATTACCAACCCAGTAGGCAAACTGAAAACTTAGGTCACATGTATGACCTTATCTCAGGGTCAGTAAGCTTACATTTACTGAACCTCCAGTGTGCCAGATACCATTCTAAACCCTGGTGATAGAAGGTGAAAGGCATAAATCCTGTCCTCTGAGGACAAAGACCTGTTGGCAAAGGGAGCAGGACACACGGAAGGACTTTGGAGAAGAGGAATTGCTCTGCACAAGTCCAATGTACAGCTGACTTAGAAGTGTTCATTTGTTTTCAAAGGGGAGAATACCTGTATTTTTGGCTGAATAACCAGAAGCTGTTTAGGAGCATGGATTTTTCTTTCTGCTGCTTGTGGATGTTTCAGTGCTTTAATTTATTTGACCTCCACCCTCCACCCCCCACACACTTGTCACACACTTGTTTTGTTTTTCTTTTATTAGGGTGCTATGAGAGGCATTTCTTATTTGACCTTTTTGGTGTGCAGTAATAGTAAATTGTCAAACATTTATTGAGCACCTGACGTAGTGTTCTGCCAGGTTGGAGTAGCGAATGCAACAGTTAAGATAAGCTGTTCTGGGCCCTTCCTGGTGGTGCAGTGCATTAAAGCACAGCACTAAGAAGCTAAAAGCCACTTAAGCATGAGTTTGATCCCTGCCCTGGAGTTGACCTGGAGGATACCTCTTCTGGCCTGCCCACTGCTCCCCTAGGCAGTACACTTCATCAGTTGGCCTGTTCTGCTCCCCACTGTCTCTGGTGAATCCTCTCACCGCCCCGTACCTCTAGCCTGTACCCCAGTTCTGTATGCATAAATAAATAAATTTAAAAAAAATGATTTGCTCTTCTTTTAGTCACAATCCATTTATTTAAGATGATATACAACTGTGAAATAATTCAGTTACAAGTTTTTTAATTAAAGTAAAATCAGCCTTAGGAGACCTTGTTTCTTACTGTAACTGGCTAGGCCAGTTTTATATGTGAGGCATGAGAGAATAAATGAGTGGATCTAAGTGAGTTAGTAGCAGAAGTAACCCAAACCCTTATCTTACAGTTTATATTTGGATTCTAATTAATGCTAAACTTTGTGTGTGTGTGTGGGTCATTTGAAATGGTTAAATGAAAAGTAACAATAATGATGATGACTAACATCTTTTGAATACTTATGTGCCAGGTACTGTGCTAAGAATTTGCATAATAATCTAATTTAATTCTTTAAAAAGAGGAGGTAAGTAATACCTCATATATGAGAAAGTCAAAACTCAGGGATACATTGCTTAAGAACAGTAGCTATTAAGTGACAAACCAAGACTCAGACTGAGGTAGTCTGAGATTTTAAGAGCTAAAATAGTTGCATGCTGGAAATGCATGCACCATTGTCTTAATGGCATTTGAAATCTTAACTGATCGAAACTTTTGTTGAGATATGTATACTAGTTCCATATACTATTAAAACATTTTAAACATGTTTCACCATTAAAACATGATTAATTGTGTAGATGATAGACCTGACTTCCAATAGTAGTTAGTGGAAATTTATTATCATTCTATAGATGTTAGAATTTAATTTTTTATTATTTTTTGTTGTTGATTTGAAATAGATCAGAGGTTGGATCTCTGCAAACTTGGGCCAAATGACAATGATACAGTCAGAGGGCAGATAGTAGGTAAGTAAGGAATTTAAAGTAAAGTGAATTTTGGCTTCATCAAATTGACCTAAATGCTTAATATCTTTTTAATCAAAGTACAATCACTAGCTTCATTGTACTGTCATGAGTTAATATGCATTAAATAAGATGTTTTCAACAGTGGACCCAGGATCATTAATTAAAAAAAAAATATGAATAGTGAAAAAAGTTGCCTGGTATGAAGAAATATTGCTCTTTTTATCTCCTTAAATCATTCTTTTTCCATTGGGTACTGTAGTGCCCTCTGGCCCCCACACCGGAGCACCCTGCACTGTTGCTGGGCCCTGGGCCCTGGGCTCTCTTCCCTCGCTGCTCTTGAGCCCTCGTCGCTCTTGAGCCCTCGTCGCTCTTGAGCCCTCGTCGCTCTTGAGCCCTCGTCGCTCTTGAGCCCTCGTCGCTCTTGAGCCCTCGCCCTCCGGCTCCCTTGCTGTTTGCTTCAAGTCTCTGGTCACCTTTCAAGTTTTCTTTTTTTTCCCTGGTTTTCTTATGCTCTACTGTAAGTGAAACCATTCGATATTTTATTTTTGAAGAAGGAATTCTTTTATTTGTTTTTGTATTTTCTTTATAGTCCTGATTTTACCAATTCAGGCTTCTTTCCACTGCTTCTTATTGTTCTTCTCTGAGTGGAGCAGTGTGATACCTCTGTTGGACCAAAGTACCTTTCTCTTTGCCTTCTGTTTTTTCTGGTCATTTTGATACTTTCAGCTATCAGTGTGTTTATTTAGGTGCAATGGAACATAAATTCTCTTGGCAAGAATCTTCCCTTTTCGTTGTTTGTTTACTACATGCTGGGCAACATAGGCTTCCATTTTGTTATGGTAACATTTGCAGAGCATTCCTTTTTGAGTGATGCCCATCCCCTTGATGTCTATAGTTTCATCTCTCATGGAATTGCATGTGTGTGGCCAAAGGACCATATTTTCTAAAACTCAGAAAACATCCAGTGCTTGACACTTTTTCCCTTTGTGCTGGTCATTTTGGCCATTTACTGGGAGATGGTGGTTTGGCTGAAAGGAAGGAAGGGATGAAGGAATTCTTTTAAAGTATATAAAGATAGTAGAGCATTGAGACAGATGCTACCTGTGAAATTAAGTTTTCAAAAATAATTCTTAAACTGGTTTTTGAGTAAGAAGAAAACTTTCTATTGAACTCTTTATGTCTATAATTTAAAAATCTATGCTAACTGGAAAGAACAGAAAAGGAATGCTAGTCTAGCGCTCCTTGAAAAATGGAGGAATTTTTACCTTACCTCCTGGGCTACTGGTCAATTTTGAATTGACCTGGAGAAAAGACTTTCCATCAGATTAAGAATTGATGGATTGAGACATAATCTAGATACATAGCATCATAGGACACTGGGGGTAAGCTTCTTTGAGTCTTTTTAAGAAGGAGAAGTGCTATGGAGATCTTACTAAATTATAGAGCAGAGTTTAGTAAAGTTGATTTCATTATGAGATGACAGAAAATTTCATTTTACAAGGCAATGCCTTGATTGGTAAGATGGGAAAAAATGAATTACTCTTCTCTATGAACATGATAAAAATATAGGAAACCTTAAAATTCCCACATTCCTAGGGGAGAAACTTAATGGAAAAAGTAATTACAGAAATTTGGAAGAAACTAAGATAATAAAATAAGCTAAATACTTTAAAGATAAATACTTAAATTGTAATTATTTGTTCTAGTTCAATGGCTTAGTGATGCTTTTGTGATTTCAGTAAGTCTTCAGTCCAGAGACCGAATAGGCACAGGAGGACAAGTTGTGGACTGCAGTCGTTTGTTTGATAATGATTTACCAGATGGGTAAGCTAAAGTGAATTGAGAAATATTTACACAATACCTGTATAATAACAAGAAATATGTTGGTGTTTATTGTATACTTGAGAAATTTGTCCATCAAATCCACAATCTACTTTTTGGTTGTACTTGGAAAATTAGTGAGGGATTTATAAAATTAGCCATAAATTAGCCATAAATACAATTTTTAAGAGTTTTGACTAGAAGATAAGTAAATTTCCTGGCAGATATAATTTTCCGATGAATATATACATATATTCAGAGGAAAATTTTTGAATAAATTTTTCAAAACAGGGCAGTGCAAAATCTGAAACTACTGTATTTAGAAGAATGAGATGGAGAATATGGGTATTAGTAGTTGTAGTGGCTGGCATAGCAGTGCTTATTGAACATGCCTGTGTCGGCTACTGCAACCACGCACTTTGTATACTTATGTCAGTTAACTCTCAGAGCACGTGATTCTGGAATTAGACACCTAGGGCCTTACTGTTGTGCTTAGCTAACTTTCTGAAATTTAATCAGTTAACTTTTTTAAAGTTTTGGTTTATATTTATTTTTAAAAGAGGGTGATGATAATAGCTACATATGCCTTAAGTTGTTTTAAGAATTAAATGAAGTAATCTGTATAAAGCTCTTAGCAGAGTGTCTTGCATAGAGTAAATGCTTAATAAACAAATGGCTACTATTGTTACTGTTGCTATTATGGCTACCTCATTCATTTCACAGATTAAAATACCTAAGACTCAGAAAAGTAAGGTAACTTGCCAAAAACCACGTAGTAAATTGCAGAACTAGAACCTCAGTTCCAAACTTCATACTGTTTTTTTTATACTCGTTCTTCACTTTTCTGATTTTATTTTTAACTTTCAAAGTTATTTTTAATTAACTCTATATACATTAAATTATGTCTACTTAAAGTGCAGTGTATAATTGATTGAATTTTAATACGATAATTTACATTCAAGGTATGGCTTTTATGCATTTTGTTTAAACTGTTAAAAATTGCTGTAATTTGGGCCCGCCCTGGTGGCGCAGTGGGTTAAAGTGCAGCACTGCAAGCTAGCTGCAGTGCTTCAGTGTGAGTTCAATCTCTGCTCTGGAGGTGACCCACATGGCGTCTCTCGCCCGCTGCTCCCCTCAACAGTGTATTTCATGAGCCTGCCTGTTCTGCACCCCCCTCTGTCTCTGGTAGGCCTCTCACCCCCCTCCCCTTACCACCCCCCCTCCCACACCTCTGGCTTGTACCTCAGTTCCATATAAATAAATAAATCTTTAAAAAAATGTAAAAAACTGCTGTAATTTAAGCTGTTTGAGATCATTTTAGCTTCTTGATGTATCCGTTAACTCTTACAGATGTGAGATAGATTATAGCACTTTTGAGGGACAGGTTTAAATGGAAATACCAAAATGTTATTGAGAAATTACAGCATTAAAAGGCTTATTATCCTAAACTTGTGCTACATTATTATAGTTCTAATCACAGGGAGAAAAAAAACCTTCAGAATCTTTTTACTTTTTGAGTCCTCCAAACCTGTGTCTGGTGGAAATTAAAGTTACCACATTTTAGTAGTTACTTGCCTATTTTTTATTATACCAGCTTAAGTACAATAACTGAGGGACCTTCCTTGGTGGTGTAGGGGTTAAGACTCAGTGCACTATCGCCATGGTGGCCTGAGTTCATGAGCTCAGTCCTGGGCCAGAGAGCTAGCCCACATGTGGTGCTGCAGACCTCTCCTGTCTCACTTGCTGCTCCCCTCAGCTGTGTATTTCAGTGGATCTGCCTGTTCTGCTCCCTACTCTGTTTCTAGAAATCCTCTCACCCCCTGCACCTCTGGCCTATACTCCAGTTCTTCTATAAATAAAATAAATAAATATTTAAATTAAATATAAGATACTGAGAAGGAGGTGGCATTCTTGGGTTTTTAAAAAGTTGGGTACTTTGAATAACTATTATGTATGTACTTTTCTAATGAAATTTAATTTTAAAAATTTTTATTTTTAGTATGGTAATTCCCCCCTCCCCACTAAATTGTGGAGAAGTTTAAATATAGTTTAATTGACCGTTGACATTATTGCAAAATTCTGTGTCTAGTTGATGAAAAATGTTAGTCATACCTCAATTTAAATAACAGACTCTTTAACATTTTAAATAATAAAATAAGTTGGAAAATTCCTGTATTCTGTATTCTGTATATTGATCTTTTAGTCTGTTAGACCAGATTCATAACAACAGGTATCTTCCTTGGTTATTGCAGTAAAAACATTCTATTTCCAGCTTCCCATTAATGCCTTATCTCAATATTTTTATCAAAGCTGGGAAGAAAGGCGAACAGCTTCTGGAAGAATCCAGTATCTAAACCACATAACAAGAACTACACAATGGGAACGTCCAACACGGTAAGAACATGCAGATGTCTTGATATGCTTTGCAGTCATTCCTTTCTGTGAACTGATCACTTTTACTAGATTTGTTTTCTTGGGTTTATATTGCAGTAGCTTAGTAAATCTTACAGTAAATGCCATTATTATTTTAAAAAACTTTTTCAATTGTTAGATTGTTTAGCAGGTCATCTTAGAAATCATGTTATTTCTGATACACTTAAGTTTTTTCTTAGTTTATTTTTTAATTCTCTGTAAAATAGCTGGGACAAAATCTAGATAATCTCCATTCATTCAGACATGTAGGGGGATGATTATGTTATGTTGTATACAGTCAAAGTCTGTGATGAAAATAAGAACCAGTGTTCAGAGACGATAGGGAGGGCCACTCCTGACTTAGAGTGGGGGTAAGGGATTTATAGAAGTTTCAAAAGGAAAACAGAAGAAGGGGACTCTCTAAACTAAATCCTGAAAAATATTAGGATTTAGTTAAGTAAGGGGGAGGTGATAAAAGTGTTCAGGGCAGTAGAGAAACAGCCACCATTTAATTTGTCAAATGGTCATTTGCCTGGCACTGTGTACGTGTGGCTGTAGCAGTGAGAAGGGGAAGAGGCATTTCTATATGGAACCTGCAGTACACAAAGATAAGAGGATACAAGATATATTTTTAGAAGCTGCTTTTTAAGTAACTGAAAATGAATTGGATAAGTTCACTGAAAATGAGTGGACTTCCTATTTTTGTAAAATAAGAACAAAGTTTATTTGCCACCTCTTCTCAGTGTTTTAGATTTACCCTCTTTCTGAGTAGGACTGGTAGCTGGCATAGAACATGAAATGCTTCTCATTACCTATGCGCACTTTTATGTATTGGGAGTTAATTGGTTAACTCATTAAATCACGAAGTCTTCTCAATATTATGATTCTCAGGTAGAAGTTTAGCTTGTATCGCCATTTTAAAAAATGGCTTTTTTAGTTGTATGTTTGGTATTAAACTGCCAAGGGTTTTACTGTAGTCAGTGCCCATTTTTATTACAACTCAACATGTATGAATTTATTGTTTCATATTTATTGAACATGCCTCTGTCAGATACTGCAGTAAAGCACTTTATATACATTATGTCCTTTAACTCTCAGAGCATGACCTTGTGTCAGTGTTTAGTGAAGTCCACTTCCATCTGACTCATTTACCTGATAAAATTGTATTTAATTTCCACATATATAAAGTTGATTGCTGTAAATGTTAGATTAAAAATTAACTCAGTTGCCCTTTTGGTTTGGATAACTAAAATAGATGGAAGATCTGAAGAGATAAACTATTGTCTTTACTTCATTCATTAATAAGTATACATAGCCTACATATATAGGAGCAAACAGGGCAGATTAAATTCAGTAATTATTACAGTATAAGAAAACAAGTTATGAGACTAGCGAGAAGAAAAGTTTCAGAAATAATTGCTCTGCTGGGGGATGAAATTATATATATCAAATTCCTGGATGATTACTTTAGATTCACAGGGTAACATTTAAGTTTAAGCTATTGTATGATTGACCAAAAAAAAAAAAAAATCTGACCTAGGGAGGATAGGAGAAGAAAGAAAAACAATCTAACTGGAAGGAATATACTCTTCAGGAATAAAGGCAGAACGAGCTTGTACAATTCAGGTAACAAGAATGTCAGTGACAGAAGCAGAATGGGCGCAAAGTCAGATCTGTGGGTGGGTCGTAGCAAAAAAGAGTGGTGCTTTGTAAGCTAACACTCACATCTCCAAATAGGTGTGGATGTCATATAAAGTGTGGTTAAATCATTATAAAGTGATTTAAATGTGTTACTGACAACCTGATTATCACTTGAGTTTCTTTGGTGCTTAGGAGGCTTCAGGCTTGCTTTTATTCAGAGTTCTTGGAATCTTTGCTTGTATTAATCACTCCTTTTTTTATGATTGTTACTGCAGTGCATACATTGTCTAGAGAACTCTACATATGATAATCTGAGTTGAGTAACTTTTTTTCCTTGTTACTTTTCAATAGACCGGCATCTGAATACTCTAGTCCTGGCAGACCTCTTAGCTGCTTTGTTGATGAGAACACTCCAATTAGTGGAACAAATGGTGCAACATGTGGACAGTCTTCAGATCCCAGGCTGGCAGAGAGGAGAGTCAGGTCACAACGACATAGAAATTACATGAGCAGGACACATTTACATACTCCTCCAGACCTACCAGAAGGCTATGGTAATGACAACAAGCAGAGGAAAAAATTCAATGTGGTTTGCTGATTTCAGCTGGCTAAGAAAAGTCAGGAAATCAACTTTTAAAGGAGTTAGTAATCTGGGGTTTAGGGGTTCTGCATGAAAGTAAACATAAACCTTCTCACTTTGGAGTCTTGGAAGTGTTAGAAGACTACCTAACTGATATTTTGAATCGATATTTTGGCTAGTTATTTAACCTCAACCTTTTTGCTCTCTTACAAGGAAGTGGTGTAAATATTACCAGATATTGTGAGGAGCATATGAAACAGTATGAGACTACTTTGTAATGAAGCACTGTGTAAAGGTGAAACAGTATTGTTATTGGTGATGGTGATCTGAAGTCGGCGCCCTCCAGTGTAATTTTGTAGGCATTCATCTTTAGAAATAAGTTCAGGGCATGTTTCTGATAGTATTTACATAGCTATATTGCCCAAAGTTTTGTTATCTCTCTGGGTAATTGCTGCAAGTGTCTCTCCCTTCTAGGTGGTAAAATTATTATGTAATTTCCTAGAATTACAGAATTTCATGTGGTAGAAGGCATGAATCTTACAGTGGATACAGAACTTTCTAAATTAATCATAAGTTGGGAACACTTCTAGAGGACTTTTTGTGCTTGCTCAAAACTTGTGAAGGCTCCCTGTGTCCTTGCCCCTTACCAGGCTGTGGGTCCACTATTCTGGTCTCAGGGTGACCCCTAGTGACCAACATGGGGAATTGCCTGATCTGACATTTTATCTTCAGAATGTTTTAAATGGTTCTGTAAATGCACAATTCTAACTTAATTTTTAAAAACATATTTAAATTTTAAAATTAAAACAACACTGATTTGTCCATTAACTGTGATGTGCTGTGAAGGTAATCAGAGCAGGATTAACCTGTGACGAGATTAGGGCAGGTGTGCTAGAGAGAGGCCTGGGCTGGCATCCTGGCTTTGCCAGGTAGCAATTGACACGGCACATTGTTTTGACCTCTTTGAGCTTTACTTTTATTTTCTTTAAAGTGGGGAAAATAATAGTACTGGCCTTGCAGGTTTGTTGCAAATAATAAATGGCAATTATGTGAAATGCCTAACATACTGTCTGGCATAGTACACTTAGTATTTTAGCTGTTATTAATGTTTAAACCTTAGAATAAAGTATCTCCTATTCTCTTCACTTGAGATTATGAGTCAGGCTGCTAGGAGTAGGGGTGATTATATATTTACAATATCTATTTGGATTAAAAATTTTTATACAATCAAAATGGGGGCATAAAGTGGTTTTCAAATCCAAAACTGATGCAGCTCTAACTTAAAACAACTTGAAACATTTTTATGTTTGTAACTTTTAAAAGCTTGAGTTGGTTGTCTTACAAATTTATGATTTGTGCTAATATTAAATAATTGCTTTATGTACTGGAATTTTTTTTATTAGATTTTGTTTGAAGAGGATTCTGTTGCTTACAAAATACCATTGAAGAAGCTTTCACAGACCCTTCTTTTTGTCCTGCTTCCTCCTTTTCTTCCCAAAGACTTTGAAATAATTTCAGCTTTGGTTTTTTTTTCACCCCAGTGTGCACATTTGCTCTTTAGTCTTTCTTTCCCTATTATTTTTCATTATTGCCTATTTTTGACTATTGTTGACTCTCCTGTATTATGTTGGCATCTGCTTGAGTACAGAAGTAGTATTGAGATTAAGAGAAAAAATGAAGTTTGGGTATAAAATTAGGTGTAATTATAAAGCATTACAAGCCTGCAGATTCTTAAAAAGTGTCTACAGGTTCCTTAGATTCTTAAAAAGTGTCCTACAGGTACCACATTCACTAGCTTCTTCCTTTGCGCCTTCTATTGTTCCTCTCAGGCTCCACATTTAAGGCAAATAAAAGTTCATTTCTTCATCTTTGTTTTATTTAATTATTGGTATGTCACAATCGTGCTTTGTTTTCTGTTTTCCTGATGCAACATGTTTAATATCTGAGCCACATTATAAAAGCACTTGGCTTTTAGATAGTTAGCCTTTGATCCTCATCCCCATGTATAAGATTGTTCCAGGTTAAATGTATTCTAAGTTCAGAACAGATGATTTTTAAAATGATTCTTTGGTAATAAAATAGTTATGTGATTTGGAGAATTTTCCTATTAATATAATATCCGAGTATTTATAACTGTCTTTTACTTGGGCATTCTGAGTATGTTTTCATTGTTAGTGTTTCCTAATTTTACAGAACAGAGGACAACACAGCAAGGTCAGGTGTATTTCCTGCACACTCAGACTGGCGTGAGCACGTGGCATGATCCCAGAGTGCCGAGGTAAGGGTGCATTCTACACAGTCTTCCTATGACTGAGTACCTTCTTTACCTGGGACTTCTTAGATTGCTTAATTTTTAGCTTCTTAAAAGTTTTATTTTTATTGTCTATTTCATTTATTTTATTGTCTAGTTAGGTGTTTCTTAGGTTGAATTTTTTTAACTTATAAAAATATGTTGAATATTTTCTTACTAGTTCCTTAATAAACTCTTAATTTAATGTGGAAAAGAAATCACTTAGTTAAATTGAATTTCTTGTAAGTGCCAAAGCTTAAACATTAGAATTGCAGTACATTCAATGACAAAATATCAGTTCTCTCAATTTTATGAAGATGGAGTGATACACCACTCAATTTAGTAATTAAATTTTAAAATATTTTAGTATCAGATAGTAAGTTTTTAAAGCATTCAGTTATTTAGTTATTTTTTAACAAACAAGTGCAAAAATTCCAAGTAGTCAAGCTGAAGCTGCAAAAACATTAAATTAGATTCTGAATCAAGTTGCATGTATATCTTTTTAAGCTGATATCTTGTATATTAAGTACAACATCCCCCTTTCCCAAAAGAAGGACCTGTGGAGGGTCAGGAGATCTTTTTCTGCTTAAAGCTTATACTCAGGCTCTATTTTTAAGAATCATGCATTTGAATCAAAAACAGATGTTACTATCTGATCTTGGATTGCTTTGGTACTCTATAAGAAAGCTATTATAGAGCTTAATTAGAACCTCCCTTTGAGGTTTGCAACCTTAAATGTGCTGCTGTCATTAATAATTGTATTAAGACTGCCTTTTCTGTATCTTGATAATATAAACTGATAGTCTAAAAAAAATCTAAATGCCTAACTTTGAGAAACAAGAGTTTTGTTATATAAATTATATTTTGGGTTCATTTATCAAATTGAAGGTCAGTAGTGAGCTATTTTGTAAAATTATTATAAAAATTTATAAATGTATATAAATTTTTAAAAATAAATGATTTACAATAGTGAGAAAGTTGATCTTAAATTATGTGTTTCAAGAATAATATGGTGGCTGGCACTGAGAGATTTTGATACCACTGTTGTTCATATTCCTACAAAATATGTCAGTTTTCCTTTAGTTAGGAGGGGTTTCTGTAATAGTCTGAGAATATTTCATGTTGAGTATTAAGTAATGATTTTAAAAAATAAGGTTCCGCATTATTTTTCTTTAGCCTTCTTTGTTCTGCAAATTGTTATCTTAAAAAATTACTGTCTTTTACTTTTGATGTTCCTTTAGTAAATAATTGTGAAGTCCCTTTTTTTTAAAAAAGATTTATTTTTATTTATTCATTCAAGAACTAGAATGTAGGCCAGATGTGGGGGTGGTAAGAGGATTCACTAGAGACAGAGCAGAAGCAGAACAGGTGGACCTACTGAAATCCACTGCTGAGGGGAGCAGCAGGTGAGACAGGAGAGTTCTGCTGTGCCCTGTGGGTCAGCTCCCTGCCTGGGGATCAGACTTGTGCCATAGTGGCTGGCAATAGCTTTATAGTTCTGAGACTTCAACACCTGTGCCAACAGGGAGGCCTGTATGGAGTATCTTTTATCAAAATAGACTATATATCAATCCGATCACTATTTAAAGACATTTTATTAAAGACATTTTAAACTCAGACATTTAAAAATTAAATTTATTTAGACATGTCTAGTAAATGTATTTATCTGAGAATTTCATTTTATCATGTTCTACATTTTTCTTTAAAACACTATGTGGTTTTGACATACATATCTGTAGTACTTTTTATGAGTGCATAACATTCCATTTTTCTTTAATCATGTCTCAACTGGACAAAAACTTGTTTCAAGTTTTCTGTTTAAACTTTTTATTTTTTTAAAGAGCTCTCTAACATACAAATACAGGTTTTTAAAATAATAAGATAATATAAAATCCAATTCTGCATTGTTAAAAGAAGTATTTATTCTTTGATTTTAATAATTGCTTTCCATTTCTCAAATTCCACTTAAAATGTATGTTCATTTATAAGAGTCTTTCATTGATCATTTGTCTTGGGGATTATGTCCTTTTTAAAAAGCATTGCTTATCAAAGCTGTTGTTTGATCTCTGACAGTAGTTGAGTATCTAATTTAGTGCTTTGTTTCCACTAATTTCCAGTCATCATGACTTCCCTTCCTGAAGTGTTTGGTGGTCTTTTATTGTGAGTTTATTGTTTGTTTTTAATTGGTTGGACTTCTGTGGGCCTAAGTAGAAATTTAGGAAGTCTTCCTGGAATCAATTTGCTCCCCAGCTTAGTGGGGAAATTCCAGACTTCCTTTTTCAGCTGTGCTGCTGGCTGAGACCAACTTTCCCAGTGAACACCATCCTTCAGCAGCCCTGCACTCTGCTGTTTGCCACTCAGGTGCCAGCTCTCACTCAATTCACTTTTTTTTTTTTTAATTTAAATTTCAGAAGGATTCTTAACTTTTCTTGCCTCTTTTGAGACTAGTACTATCTCAGATAATGTATTCTTTCTAAACATTAGGTAGAATATTTTAAGCCTGCCAACAAAGTAAAACTGAAAATGTTAAAGTTGTGATTCTGAAAATAATCAAAGCATTTTTTAAAGGTTAACTGCTCCATTTTGAATTTTAAAATCTGTAGTCTCTTGGAGACCCCATAAGCAGAAGTCAGAACCACTGTTTCTAAAAACTTCTGGGTGCTTTCATATGTGCTCACTTTTTGTTTCATTAAGAAGCTGTCCATTTCTAATTGAACTTTTGAAACATTTTGATTAGATTTGTCATTGTAGTTATCCATGATAGTTGAAGTTTATATTGCTCTTGCTGCTTTTTTTCATCCTTTAAGGCCTTATAAAATGTTGTATATGACATAGTGCTATTTTAAGAATGTATAATATAATAATAGTAGTCTTTGGTCCATTAAAAGTGTCTTTTTGTATCAGTAAACTTTGAACATTCTTTAGACATTCTTCATTCACTAGCTTTGCAGATTTTAAAATTTAAAATTCAAAACGGAGTGGTTATCCTTTAAAATATGCTTTATTGTTTTTAGAATCATAATTTTAACATTTTCAGTTTTGCTTTATTGGCAAGCTTAAAATGATTGATGGGATGAACATTTATTTACAAATATTGTAGCTTAGTAAAGAAAGAAGTAATTGAAGGGAAATTTTTGAAAGCATTTAGTTCCTTATGTCACTGACATTTGTAAAACAATATTTTCTGTCAGACAAGTATGAGGTATAGTTTATGTTGGCAGATGTAGTGGCTGCTTTTATTTTTATATTAATTTAAAATCTGTATTAAAGTATAAGAATGAATTTACTAAAAATGTAGGCTGTGTGATAAGTTTCTGAACCATATATGGATTGAGTTTTGACTGTGCGGTTTGTTAAACCATTGGGAATTAGAGATTCCAACTAAACATCTCAAGTTTCTGAAACAATACATTTTCTAAGACTTCATGGAATTGTTCTGTGTCATACTTGCTTGGCTCTGCAGGCCTAGCAATGATGTATTTTTCATTTTATATTTGTTATTGCAGGGATCTTAGCAACATCAATTGTGAAGAGCTTGGTCCGCTGCCTCCTGGATGGGAGATCCGTAATACAGCCACAGGCAGAGTTTATTTCGTTGACCATAACAACAGAACAACACAGTTTACAGATCCTCGACTCTCTGCTAACTTGCATTTGGTTTTAAAGTAAGTTTTAGTTACACACTAAAATGCCAGTCTGAAGAAGAGAAGACCTATAGTTGCTTTGTATAGCAAGTGTATTAGATATCTGCTATCTTGAATTACAAATTACTTTTGGTAAACAAAACTGTAGAAGAGTGTTACAGGTTTTACTCTAATGTGAGTATTTTAATCTCACTTTGCTTAAATAAGAACTGGTCCTAAGCTGTTAGGAAAAGGGTATTTATTAGTAGTGCTAAAGACAGAGTGGGCCTGTTTCGAAGGCAGTAGTTTGACAGAAGTAGAGGCCAATTTTGTGTTGGCCACTTGCAGCAGAGCTACTTACAGTCATGGCTAATGCTGTCCTTCATCCTTTACATAAACTAGCAGTTTCATTTTCAGAACTTACACGGGCTTTCTGTTCTGTGTATCTGTTTTTGTTTGAGCACAACACTGTTTTAACAGATTATACCTGTGAAACTATCCCCATAATGAAGTGCGTACACCCCCCAAAAGTTCCTTGTGCCTCATTCTAATTCTTTCTCCTGTGCCTGGCACATAGTGTGTATGTCCTTAACTCAGAGTACTGGTTTTCCAAGTCTCTGAATACCACCAACAATTAGATTCAGTTCTGATATTCCCTAAAGTCAGTGTCAGACCCTGTAGGCTAAGGGTTCCTTCCCACAAGTCTGTCCCACTGCAGACACCAGTCACAGGTCCCAGGCCTACATCATGGTGTTCCCAGGCCTACATCATGGTGTTCCCACAACTCCCTCCTTGGGCTTAATAGTTGACTGGAATGACTCACAGAACTCAGGGAACACAGAACTTGATTTACTATTACTGCTTTATTATAAAGAATACAACTCAGAAATAGCCAAATGGAAAAGATGGATATGGCATGGGACTATGGAATAAGGAGTAGGATACACAGCTTCCCTGCCCTGTCTGGGTGCATTCCCCAGTACCTGGACGTGTTCACCAACTAGGAAACTCATAAATTGTGTTATTCATGAGGCTACCATCACATAGGCATGATCAATTATTAACTCAAGTCTCCATCTCCTCTCTTGGTCCCAAAGATTGGCTGTAAGTTCAAGGCTTCTAGTCAAGCCTCATTCTTACTGGTGAGCAGCAGCTGTTCTGTAGTTATTTAGGGCCCACCAGAGTCAATCGTTAAAACAAAAGATGCTCTTATATCCAGAACATCCTAAAGGATTTAGAAACTGTGTGTCTTGAACTGAGGGCAAAGACTAACATTAGAACAACAGGTACTCTGTCACTTCAAGTATTTTGGGAGTTCTGGTCAAGAATGGAGGATAAGAGCAAAGTACATTTCTTCCTTCCCTGTATGTTGGATGCAAATTTCTTTCTTCTTATAAGGATATCATTTACTTGGGTTTTGGGCCACTCTAATATAGCATGTAGAACTTCACAATTCAACCCATGTGCACTGCATTTTCAGCCGACCACTGATCTGCATCTATCACTGTTTGCGTTCTCTAGAACTTTAGATACTAGATTCTTGCAGTATGTATGTTCTCCTTTTATTTAGTTTCTTTTATTGGCACAGTTACTTTGAGATTCACCTCTGGTTGTGCATATACTTCATTTCTTTTCATTGCTGGGTGGCATTCTGTTGTACAGATACACAGATTATTTGTCCATTTACCTGTTAGTAAATATTTGGATCGTTTTCCAACTTTTTTTGGCACAATAAATAAAGCTATTTTGTATGGGCATATGCTCAAATTTCTTAGTTAAACAAACACTAGGAGTAGAATGACTGAGTCATGATATTTGTGTTTAACTTTTTAAAAAACTGCCAGTTTGCATTTCCAAGTGGCTGTATCCTTCCTCGTTCCCCTCAGCAGCATACATCTTGCTAACACTTAATATTTACCTTACTAATGTTGGGTATATTTTAAATTTACATTTTAGTGCCTAACAGTATTGAACATCTTGTGCTTACTTGCCATCTCTGTCTTTCCTATGAAATTTTTGCTTTCCCCCTTTTGAATTAGTTGTTTTTTTAAACTTCAGCGTCTTGAGAGTTCTTTAGCTTGTTGAGACACAAGTCCCTTATCAGATAGTGGCTTGGAAAATTTTCTGGTCTGGAATTTATCTTTCCAGTTTCTTAACATTGACTTTTGAAGAACAGAAGTTTTCTTTTAAATTTGATGAAGTTTCATTTATCCACTTTTCTTTTATGAATTGGGCTTTTGCTACATTTAAGAAATTTTAATCTAATAATCATAACAAATGTCTTTTGTGTTTAGAAATTTTATTATTTTAGGTTTTACATTGAGGTCTTTGATCCATTTTAAGTTAAATTTTTGTATTTGTTTTTATTACAATGTTTGTACAGTAGTAAATAATGACTTGTAATTTTCATCAAGCTATTTTCTTGGTAGAGTTACATGTTTTAAGAATAAAACTTGACTTGATATCTGGGATTCATTATATATAAAATCAAAATTACTTTTATCATAGCTACCTTTGCTTTTTATCGTTAGGTTCAGAAATTGTACTTTTGCCAATTGTGTATAAAATTACTTAACTTTCTTTTTTTTGTATTTTTAAAGAGTAAGTTTATTAGAAAGGGACAGGAGAGGAAAGGACATTTGCATAGGCACCTAAAATTACTTGTCTACCTGAGAGCTTAGTTTAAAATTAACTGGTTCATTATATCACGGAGCTTTTCTTGAACAACTTCTTAGATGTATCTTAATATTTGTTTGCCAGGAGAATACAAATATTTCTAAGCAGCATGCTTTGTAGACATTTTATTTCTGCTGTGCTTGGGAGATTATTGTCATGTGTCTGTGATGAACTGTTTTATATGCAGGTAGAAGTCTCTTTAGCACCACAATTTGAATGCCTCTGTGCCACAGGCTATACACTAAAATGATTCCAATAAGTGAACTTTATATTGTGTACATAAACACACAAAATGAAGCCACTTTGGGAAACATTTAGACTTGTTCATAAGACGCTCATTTCTGTACAGCAGCAGCTTCCATGTAACTTACTGCATTCCTTTGGTCTAGACAGCAGTAGTGGTGAAGAGTCCCTGCCAAGCTGCCCACTCACACTGTCTCTTCCAGAGAGGACAGACTAGATAATGGGCATTTAAAATGGGTGAATGTAAACTGTGCAGAAGAAAATGGTAACATTTGAAAAATTTGTTCTCAGTGGCTATATAAAACGTAATGGATTAAACTCCATTATTCAGCACCATACATGTGGGTAGATGCTGAGAAATAAACTTTGGAACTAATTTATCATTACTAGAAAGATCAACCTAGGAATAAAATAAGGCCTGAAAATGGGATGACTAGATTAGTTTATCGTATGTTACTTTAAATGTATATTGCAGTGTGTTTTATTTAAAATCCCTTTTTATTCTTCTGTTTATTTCCAGTCGGCAGAACCAACTAAAAGACCAACAGCAACAGCAAGTGGTGTCCTTATGTCCTGACGACCCAGAATGTCTCACAGTCCCACGGTACAAGCGAGACCTGGTTCAGAAACTAAAAATTTTGCGCCAGGAACTTTCCCAGCAACAGCCTCAGGCTGGCCATTGCCGCATTGAAGTCTCCAGGGAAGAGATTTTTGAGGTATACTTACAAATACTATTTTAAAATAGAGAACATATTAATTTCAGTGTTTCACTCTATGATCTAAGAAGACATGGGAAACTTTTCATCAATTTTTAAAAAAATATGTAATAGTGTATTTTTACATCATTTTGTGCCTTTTTCCATGTCAGTTGTAATCCCTGTGGGCTTCCCATCACCAAATCACCCCAATTTCTGTTTTAATTGTGGGAAATAAAGATAATGATATTGGAGAAATTTTAAATTGATAATAGACATTTAATGGGACAAAGAGTGGAGATGTGCTGTTGGGCTTGGCTTGGTCTCTGCATTGCAGATACTTAACTTGTTAATGAGTTTTAAGAGGCTACACACAATCATTCCTTACTTTTTTATCCTTCCAAAAGGTAGGAGAGTCTTAAACCCCAAAATCATTTTGTTTAATCACTACTAGATTACTTACCTTTTTTTTTTTTAAATATTATTTATATATACAGAACTGGGGTACAGGCCAGAGCTGCAAGGGTGAGAAGACTCATCAGAGACAGAGTGGGAAGCAGAACAGGCAGATTGACAAAGTACACTGCTGAGGGGAGAAGTCTGCCACGCCATGTGGGTCACCTCCCTGGGTGGGGATTGAACTCGTACTGCAGCGGCCATGATAGCTTCATTGCATTGTGCCACCAGGGAGGGCCAGATTACTTTCTTAATTTATTGAAAATCTTTCTTTCTAGAATATCCTTTTACCTTTGTATCTTATAGCTCTAGTATCAACTTCAAAGTTCTTACATAATAAGTTGCAGAGATCCAAGGCAAGTGTTATAGGATTCCTGGACAAGAGATATTTGTGGACTTACAATTCTTTTCCCAAAGGAGAAACATTTTTCTTGAAGGAAAGTTTTGATTCTGAAGTTAGTTGTTTATATTTTAAAATAACAGTCAATTTAATGAAAAGCACATTAATGGTGACTTACATTCATTTGAAACTTTTTTCTTACCTTTACTGTCTACGGGTGCCTGAGATCTAGAGTTAAGTCCACTTAAAAAATGTATTTCTTCTGCCAGATGTTACTAATGGAATGGAATCACTGCTGTTGCTCATAGAACTTAAACATGGAGTTTTGCCCTCAGTAGCCTTTTAATATAATACTTATTAAGTTAATTGGTTTCAGTAATATAAAGTTATATCCATTTTATTTTTGGAAGTACCATATTCTTGGTTTTTATTCATTGATTGATTGTTGATTCACATGATTTAAATAAACATGTTTTGTGGGTGGATGGGGAAAGTTTAAATATTATTTATTTATTTATTTAAAACATGTTTTGTGGGTGGATGGGGAAGTTTAAATAACAGGCTAAACGCATCTTGTATCAAAATTATTTTCAGGAATCTTATCGACAGGTCATGAAAATGAGACCAAAAGATCTCTGGAAGAGACTAATGATAAAATTCCGTGGTGAAGAAGGCCTTGACTATGGAGGAGTTGCCAGGTAAAGATTTGCTTGTTATGAGTGATATATGGTCCTCAAACAATACCAACAGCAAAATAACATCTTTGTCCAAAAGTGAAAGTAAATTAATGTTACTTGCATAAACTAGCATGAATAAGCCATGATGGGAGCAGACCAGGATAGTATAGATCACTTGAATGCTTTGAAATAAAATCATAGTCTTTGTACTTTATGTTATATGGATTATACATTTATTTGGCAGTTAAAAGTACCAGACCAAAAAAAAAAGTAACAGACCTCTGGACTGCAGCACTTAAAAAGAGTTTTTGGTGCTTCTGGGTAATACCTTTATATTCTCTGATACATAAAATGTCATATAGTTGCCTAAAATTGAGTGAGAAGTCACTTCAGTATAACAAGAGTTTTTCATTTGCTGTTTGGACATGGTAGATTTTTCTTCCATAACTCATTAGTGATTTTTTAAAAAAAACTTACTTCCTAAACTGGCCCTCCCTGGTTGCACAGCGGGTTAAAGCACAGCTCTAAAAAGCTAAAGCTACTTCAGCATGAGTTCCATCCCCGCCCACATGGCACTGCAGACCTCTCCTGACCCGCCCACTGCTCCCTCAGCAGTGTACTTCATGGATCTGTCTGTTCTGCTCCCCGCTCTATCTCTGGTGAATCCTCTTACCCTTGCACCTCTGGCCTGTACCCCAGTTCTGTATGCATAACTAAATAACCCTGTAAAAAAAATTATTTCCTAAAGTGATTAAAAGCATATTTTATTAAAAATATATTCATTAAACAAACAATTTCTTTATCATGTTTTGTTTTCTAGGGAGTGGTTGTATCTTCTGTCACATGAAATGTTGAATCCATACTATGGCCTCTTCCAGTATTCCAGAGATGATATCTATACATTGCAAATCAACCCTGATTCTGCAGTTAATCCGGTATGATTGATGGTTATTATGATGCTGTGAATTATCTTGTAACTTATGCTTTTCATCTCTAAACGTCAGTTTAGTTTATTGTCCTAAAACACCCTTGGATTCAGCAGTTCCTCTTCTAGAAAATTTTCTCAAATACATGATTATGGATATGTGTAGTAGGGTTGGAATATCAGGCTGTTGACAGTGTTTGCAGTAGACCTGTTTGGAAACAGTGCTGAGTAAAGGACACAAAGCCAAATGACACAAGTGGGTAAGAGCTTATTTTCTGGAATTAGAAAGACATGAGATGCTGTCCTGATCTTGGCAAATTCATTGACTTGAGCCTTGATAACGATGATAAATATAGTTTGTACCTCAGAGAAAATAAGAAGATAATTAAATAAGCATTAGCATGGTGCTGTACATTATTAACCTGATTTTAAATTGTTATTCAGCTCAAGGTAGCAGCTATTACTCATTTGTTATTTTTATATTATTTCTATTTCTACTTAAGGGCATGTTAAACACCATTAAATGAGATTTTGGGACAGTAGTTAATGACATGTAAAGATGTCTTTATGATACAGTAAATGAAAAGAAGATGACCAAACAGTGTGGTGCAGTTTTAGGAAACATGTGTCAGCATTGAAAGACTCTCCACTTTAATATTGATGGTATCTTTGGGTATTAGATAATGGGTGATTTTTTTTTTCTTACAGTTCCTAAATTTTTTTTAGTGAATATATATTAACTTTTTAAAAAAAGTTTACTTATTTATGCATAAAGAACTGGTATAGGCTAGAGGTGTGGAGGGTGAGAAGATTCACCAAGACAGAGTGGGGAGCAGAACAAACAGGGGAGCAGTGGGTGGGC